TTGAGTCTGGACTTCACAGCAGGATACGATGCCTCACTTCCCCATTAGATCATCCTGTGCCTTAAGCAGCTTCCTCACAGGATGGAATCTTTTACTTCACTTCTGGTATTCTGTGCCTTCGTGAGCTTTCCTTCAAAGCTGAAGGATTTATCCAGGAAGAAATTGCTACACAACAAGCAGGTGCTGAAGCTCTTCAAAGGCTGATGCTACCTGCCTGACCCAGACTATACCATCCCCTTGGCTTCTCCTCCTTTTCCAGAACACGGCCCAGTCCTCCCCGTCTGCTCAGTGTCTTGGTCTTGCTTCCTCAATCTGATCCCACTGCTCCTGCTTTCTCTTCCTGTTCCCTATTTGTCATGTGGTTCATGTTCCCTAAGAAGTTGTCACATTGTCACTGTTGTTTAAGACATCAATGACTGCCCTGTATTCTAAGACAAGCTCATATCCAACATCTCCCTGCATCATAAGAGAAGCCAGAAGTTCCCTGAGACAAATGTCTTTCCCTAGCCCCATGTTAATAGTCACATCACTGTCTCAGGCCTGATGGCGCCACAGCAGCAGTGAGCCGTCCAATGAACTCATCTTGCCAGGATGTGTCTCTGCTGTCCTTGTGCCCAGTTATCAGGTAGTCATTCAGCTAAACATTCGGGGTAAAAACAGCTTCTGTCCCAAGGACACCCCAACCCAGGCTTCATAACTGTGTGCACCTTCTTTCTTTCCAGTAATATAAAATTCACCTTGACTGCTCTCACCTTTGAACAGCCTGCTTCTTCATGGAGAAAACAACTTCTGTCCCAAGGACACCCCAACCCAGGCTTCACAGCTGTGTGTGCCTTCGTTTCCAGTAACATAAAATTCACCTTGACTGCTCTCACCTTTGAACAGCCTGCTTCTTCATGGAGAAGCTGTGTCACCGTTGCAGAACTTGGAATAAATGCTCTATTCAGTCTGCTGAAAGGTCTGGCTCTGGTCTTTTACCTAAACTTTATGCTTTCTCTGTCCTTTCAAATCCTATACCCCAGAGCCGTGAGACCGCACGGGTGGTGTTTGCCATGTGCTTCACTACGAATACTTTTTTCTCAGTCTCTGCAGATGAGAATTGAACAGTCTTTTAATATCTCATTCCTTGACTTTACTGCAACTAATATGTGATTATTTTTTGAAATTTCAGCTTTCCTATTTTTCTTGACAAGATTATCTCTGAATTTATTCCTTCAGGCTCATCATAGATCCCTATTTTTGGAAAATTATTCACTTTGTTACCACATATAGAGTAATACAATCTATAAAATTAAACCTCGACACCAGCTTCCGAGTTAGGTTGCAGCCAAATTCTTGTCCCTCAAATCAAACCTAGAAACTTGCCTCAAAGTGTGGTCTATCCTTACACTAATGCTTACGCACGCTTAATGCTCTATTTCGGTTTCACTCTAACAATACTGGGCAGCTGGTATGTGGCGGCATTCTGACCCCAAAAGAAGGATGAGGATTTGTGCCACTATAAGGTGGTACTTTGTCACCAACCTTGGGAAGATTGATGATAAACAATACATTCAAGTTCTAGACTAGTTTCAAGTACCTTCTGAACCAATTACAGTGGAGGTAACAGACTGGGAGACTTGGGTCTCTACTAAGGCGATTAGGATTCCATGAGGAGAATGTTCCTTCTACAGAAAGGACTTCAATGATTTCCTTTTGAAAAACCGACATCAGGCTGATGGGTCACCCTATCTATCCTGGAGACACAGCAGGATTGTGGTCCTGCCTTATGTAGTGAAGATATTTATCAGTGGCTGTGAGACATGTTCTCTGACATTCCAGATCAATGAGGGAGGGGTAAAATTCCTGTGTTTGCTCCATCCTCAGTCCTTTGAAGACAGAATGTAGCAGGCCTCTGTGAAATTTCCCACACAAGAGTACACAGGCCTGCCCCATTCCCTGCCTTGATCTGATGCCATTGTGTTTCATAGCTCCTCCTGAGATCAAATCTGAATGTTTCTCTTGTGCCTGAAATAATGTGTTATTCATATGACTGAAATAAACACTAGACATGAAGCTACTGTCCCAGGGTGGATGGGAATGTCTCAGTTTGCAGATACTGCATGGAGGTCAGCCCTACTGTAGGCTGGTACATGAGAAAGTCTGACAACCTTTTTCAAAGGGAGTGGAGTTCTTCGAGAAGGTCTCCAACCATAGTTGGGACTTAATGGATGGAGGTTCTTGCCTCTCTTGAACCCCAAAGAGTGCAATCTGTTGGTGTTCTCCATGAGGAGAGTCACTGAGTCACTGAGAAGGAAGACCAGAATTGACATTATTCATCTCAACAGAGGTGACGTTTATTGACACTGTAAAAAACCTCACACACAGTCCTTCTATTTATGGCTGAAATAAAATTATATTTTCCATAAACCACAATTCCTTATTTAATAATTCACCTCTGATAGACAGGGATTGATTATTGTGAGCAATAATAATCAATTACCGAGGGAACATGGGTTTTCAGGCTCAATTTACCACACTAGGTCCTGAGCAGAGACGAATCAGTTGAGGACACTGTTTGCCACATGTAGGAAAAAAATGCTTTAAGCTGTTTCTACAAGAGCAGATCCATTATATTTTTATGAGATTAGTGCACTTTAAGAAGACACAGCAAAGATGGTCATGGGATCTCAGGAGATCAGTGGACGCCGTCCTGTGTGGACTCTTCCTTCCCCTCACTCGCTGAGTGGCTCGCCTATCTGAATTGATCAATTCCCTTGGAATAACTGTTTGTAAATCTTTCTTGACCTGATTCAGAGTCCTGTCAACCACGCTGAACTCTGATCTCTACCAGCATTGGAGGGTCCAGGGAGATGCTGGCAGACAGACACAGCACTATTTGGCAAGGGGAGGCTGAGTCAGGCTGAGTCCAGGCAGAAGTAGCAGATTGAGGAGTATGGCTGACAGGCGTGGTATGCAATGCAGGCTGGGGGAAGCAGGGAGGTTTGGGGTCTCTTCTTTATGCCAAACCACTGCAGTGAGAACGATTTACACACAGACAAAAGGAAGGATATATTTGGACATAAAAAGCTTATCCCTGGGAATAAAGCATGAGCACTGAGATGGCCTGTTACGCTACTGGGTTTCCCAATATAAAATGAGGAGGAAATAAATAATGCTGCTTCTTTGAGAAAAGGTGGTACAATAAGAAATATGACGTCACAGCATTTCCCACAACACCCGTGTTCTATAGACTCACTGCAAGCACTAAATTATGGACTATGAACCATTGATTATAGGGAAAAGTCAGGGTTTCATTCATGTTAGACCCTCATCTGATTTTTATACATTAGAATCGTTAGACACTTTTTGCTGTAATCTTGGTAGATTTATTTGGTCTTGTGTACATTCTAAGCTGCCCATATAACTTTTTTTTCTTCCTCAGTACTTGGAAGATATTAAGAAATTATCCCTGAGCTTCCTGACTACAATCTGTGGCTAACCTGCAGGTTCACTGTGCCGTCCGTTCTCACTTGCACACTTGTAGGCTGATGGTCTGTGTGACCCTAGGTAATGTGACACTGAATCTTTGTTTTCAGCTTGGCTCAGAGCTGTTCACTGATCATGCTGATTTCTCCTGATCTCAGGAGTCCAACACTCCTCTCAATTTGACCTCCAAAGCTTCATCACACTGCGATGGTGTCACTGTGACAGTTTCCAGAGAAGCCTCTGCCTCAGATCAGTAGATGTGATTTTCCTTTGGACGAGTGCCTCACACTGGTTATTCATTCTCACGGACCTCACAGCCAACGTTGCTTCTCTGAATGGCATTTTTAAACTCACATATAAGATACACACCTGAATTCTTATGGTCAGCAGCAACAGAGAATAACTGCTGCATCCATTGAAAGAAAAACCCATCAGCAATAAGTGAAAACTGCTAATCATGGCTCTCAAACTAATTTTTATCAAGATGCAAATTTTCCAGTACGGAATCTGTGAAAATTGAATCAATTGTATCTTCTAGGGACACTCTTAAATTAGAAGATTGAAACGGTGGGTATTTCAGGTTTCAGTCTATCTGTGGGATAGAATATTAATTCATAGAATCTGTGTCTTCTCTTCCACATGTACAAAAATAAACAGAATGAGTTAGAGATGCTCTGATTTCCCCTAGCTTCTTTAATTAACTTAGTATCACCGATTCTTAGAATTACAGCCACTTGTTGAAAAATATGGGAAGACTTTTTCTTGAGTTCATCTCCATCCACCTGACAGTGAAAAGGGGGCAAATGGGTATCTGAGTCTCCATGGAGACGTGTCGAGACGTGTAGAATGTAAGCACATTGCAATTTTCAAAGAATAGGATTCAAGGGTCTCTTGAGAATGTACTGATCAGGAAAAGGAAACCACAGATTCTAACATTTAACCAGCCCCAGGTGCCATCTGTGGGTGTGGAAGCAAATATGGTAGATTCCAGAACCTACTGTGTTCTGAGGAAGGCCTTCCTCCGGTCCCCAGGAACCATGGTTAGTACTTATCAGCCCCGCAGATCCTCAGCGCCCCCTACTGGTCCTGAGCATTTTGAGCTGGAAAGTTTGTGTCTGGGCTCACACTGCATTTCCCTCACTGTGTCTCTGGCACAGAAATACATGGCTGTGTCCTCAGACTGCAGGGTGTTCAGTTTCAGGAAAACTTGGCTCTTGGAGGTGTCCCTGGTGATACTGACTCGGGATTCTAGAGTTGCATTATAGTCTGTGCTTCCACCTTTCCACATTACACCGATCCATTCCAGACCCTTTCCTGGAGCCTGGCGGATCCAGTGCATATGATAGCCAGTTAAGGAAAATCCAGATGCAGTGCAGGTGAGGGGCAGGATCTCCAAGGGCTTCACCAGGCCAGGTCCTGACTCCTGCAGCTGTACCTGTGCCAAGACACCTAGGAACAGAGTATCAAAGTCAGTCACACACATTGTATAAAACTTGTCAAAGCTTGTGAACCAAAATCCCAGACACACTCACAGCAGGGAGCAGCCAGCAGGCAGAGGAGCAGCCCCAGCACAGCCATGGTCTGATGGAGGCTCCTGGGAGGAGGAGATGGGACTCCTCAGCCAGGGCTGGGCTTTCAACCTGAGACTAGAGGCTGTTTTGCATCTGGAAAGAGTGTGAGGAGGTAAAAGTGGAGAGGAGGCAGGGTCTCCAGTAGTATCACCATGTGAGGGCGATTTGCCTGGTGCTGCTTGGAGGATCTGCAAATAGGCATTGGCGTGGGTCTTAGTCTTCAGGCCTTTGGGACAAATCTAGAGGAAAGTTTTACATTACTTGAGTCCACAGGCATGCAGCAGAGGCAGACCAGATTACAGTATTCCCAGTGAACTTGAAATATGTATAAATTTCAGGGGAAGATTTAGGATAGAATATAGTGCTGTGTTGAACTTCTTATTGTGGGGAATCATGTTTAATAGACATCTTAATCGGTTTTCCTGGTCTTAGCGGAGTCAGCCTTGTTCTTATAACTCATGTACAGCACCCATCCTGTTAGGACAGACCTCAAACACTTCTGGTGCATGTAAGTCCAATGTTTCCCTGAGATCTAGTTTGCTTGTCTCAACTATGCATCTGTCCACGCAATGACTGCAGACCTGGGGCCCCAGTTCCAGTCAGTCTTTTCTTACCTTCTGTTTATGTCACTTTTTCTGTTTTCCTCTCTGTCCCTCTGTCTCATATCCTGTCGTACATACAAAACAAGATGCAAAGATGTGATGATTCAATTCATGAGGGAATGGAAGAATCAGTTCTCCATAAACCCTTATTAAAAAACTGCAATATGAAGTCAAGACTGAGGCTCAGTATTTTATGCTAATTGCTATCATAAATAAAATGAAGTAGAGAATGATAATTGATCACAAGAACGCGAGGGGTAGAGACTTCAACATGAGGATCACCTCACCTTGCTGTCAATCATCATGAAGATCAATGGTTTTTAGGGCCTTACTCAGAGCCTTGGACATATGCATCATCCGTGTAGAGAAAAAAAGTCCTCAGCCAGCTTTACATTTCCATCACTTGGTACTTTGGTGAGCTGTGACTTTCTGGTGTTGGTGGCAATGTGTTGCGTGAGAAAGCTTTGCTGATGAGAGTTGAGGGATGCACTAACTTAGCAGTGCTCACCGTTACTCCCGTGTTGCCTCCCACGCACATTCGGAATCCACGATAGAGCTGGGAAAACAGGCAGCAGGCCCCAGTCTTAGCTGAAGAACGGCAGTTGATTACTGCTGGGTGAGAGAGAGCGAGCTGATCTTCTTTAATGGAGAGACTCCAGACAGGCTGACTAGACCCCAGTGGATGAACTTCTGCTGAGGGTTGTCTGAGTACACTAATGTGACTCGACAGGCCTCAACATACATGACAGAATGCATGAACTTCAGTGGGGCTGGGCTATAAAGGGGTGCAGGTGGGGTAGGCGATATAAAGAGGATTCAATAAAAATGTGCATATAAAATGGTAATCAATGCTATTCTCTGTGTCTTGCATTAGAAGAAGGAACAATGTCTCAACACTTCCAATATATCTTTGGAAAGAATATTAATTCAAGGAACCTGTGGTTCCTCAATAAAGATAATAATGATCAGATGATTTAAAGTTTCCCGAGTTTTCCATTGAATTTATAATCAAGTTTCAGAATTATAGATTCCTATCGAAATGTATGAGAAAGTTTCATCCTATATGAAGCTCTGTTTGATAGTAAGAAAGTACCAAATGGATAATTTAGAAACTTCAGAGAAAAATGTTTGCTCTAGAAGGCAAACAAATAGGAATTTTCACCGACTATGGCACAGGGAAGGGCCTCTCCAGGGTCTCCTTGGCAGGAAGGGGAAACCAAAATTTCTAAAATTAATCCTGCCCTAAGCATGCTGTGTCCCTTCTCATGCTGCTGAGTCCTGAAATTTCTAGTTTCTAAGGGGCCTGCACTGGTCCAGGGAGACTGTTCTGCCCACAAAAGCCCCTTGCTGCTACTAAGCTCCCCTAAGAGAGGTTTATATCTAGGTTCAAACTGAAGTCCCAGCCCTGTGTTTTTCACACAGTAATACATGACTGTGTCCTCAGGCTGCACATCGTTCAGCTTTAAGACAACTTGGCTCTTGGAGGTGGCCCTGCTGACACTGATGTAAGATTTGTAAGCTGAGTTCTAATCTGTGCTTCCTCCGCCTCATATAATACCCATCAAATCCAGACCGTTTCCTGGCCACTGTTGAATCCAGTGCATACCATAACTATTTATAGAGAATCCAGAGACAGTGGAGGTGAGGGAAAGGGACTCTGAGGGCTTTACCAGGCCAGGTCCTGACTCCTGCAGCTGCACCTGTGACAGGACACCTGTGGACATGGAGAATCACCATTAGTCATACATGCCATTATCACATGCCCAGTTCTTCTCCTTATACACTTGAAACACTCACAGTAGGGAGCAACCAGCAGACAGAGGAGCATCCTCAGGACAGCCATGTTCTGATGAAGGCTTCTGTGAGGAGGAGATGGACTCCTCATCCAGGGATGGGCTTTTAGCCTGAGACTCGAGGCTCCTGGGGGAGGTTCATGAGTAGATAAGAGGGAGCACAGCACAAAGTCGGTCTGCACTGGTCCCATCAAATGACTGAGATTTGCTTTGTGCTTCTTAGGGAAACGGAGACAGAAAACATCAGTGGCATTGAGGTTTGTGATTACTGCCCGGTTTTCTAATTCCAAACAAACAGGAGTGAGTCATTTTGTGGAAAACTTGGGGACAGAAGGTGGAAAACTGATGTACTAGGTTGTTCCACATTCCTGCAGTGGAGGTAGAACAGGACAAAATGCCCCCAGTCATTTGCACATCCCTGTAAATTTAACTTGTTTAGGATGGAATGTTTTGCTGTGTTGCACATGATGCTCTTTGAAATGGGATCCATGTTTAAGGGACAGTTAAAATCCATTTCCTGGTGTTGTTAGACTCAGACTTTTTCTTCTCCATCATGTACAAAATCCAACATGTTGCAAAGTACCTCACACACATTAGGACATGTGATTTCAAAAGTTTCTCTGATGGGAGATCTGAGGAACCCATTCAGGTCCCTTCTCACTGGACTCAGACTATTCACCTGCTCACTCTGTGTCAATATATCTGGGTAACTAGGCTTCGGTATCTCTTGATTTCTGCCTATCACTATCTTGCTGTCTCTATTCAATTTCTTTCTTTTTCTCTCTGCTGTGCCTACAGCACATGATAAAACCATATTCTTTGATGCGTTATTTGAATTGCCTAGGGTTGGGAAGGATGTTCATAAAACCTCATACTAAACTGTAACATGCAAGCAGGTTTGATGGTTACTATTTTATGGTAACTGAAGTAATAGCTAAAATAAATCACACACCTCTAAGTGATGACAAGGGAAATGGGGACAGACTTGACCAAGGAGATCCTGTGTCTTACGGTGAGGGCCTACATAAAGATCAAGAGTGGGCAGGGCAGGTCATAGAGCCTTTTTAATGTAAACCATCAGAGTAGCTTATGTGGAAAGCTGGAGCCAAGATTTAACCCTCTGTGTCATCTGAACAGCATCTTTAATGCTCAGTTACTCTCATCTGTCTCCAGCTGATTGACTTAGGTGCTGATGGCTCTTTGTCCCGCCACCCTTCTTGGTCCATGCCTCCCCTGAGTGCTTGTTCTGCCTGTGATGTTGACTTTATCTCCCGCCCCATCTCTCCTTTTCTTTCTTCCTCCCCTAACTACCTTGTACTGTTGAGGCTGAGGCACGGTCATCCAGAGAGCATCGTGAGTGAGAAAAACAACTGGGAGGCCTGGCTGTCCTGTGGGTTGGACGTCCAGCTATGTCCGCAGCCCTGGAGAACTATATATGAGCCCAGTAGTACTTTGTTCATGATGGTTGGCAGTGGGTGGCAGTGATGGGGGCAGGTCTCTACTCTTGGGAGACAGTCACCCCTGAAGCTTCTGATGGGCACCCATCACATTGCTCCATTTGTTTTTCATACCGTCAAGTTTAGAGAATATTTTTCAAACGTTATACTTACCTTCAGCTTGTCTAATATTTTTCTCATGGTTACACAAAGTTGGGCAAGACCATCACAGAAAAATGTCACTTTTCTCACACAGCATCAGAGAAGTTGTC